GTCAATTGACAATCAAAGTGCACTTTTCATCTATTATTTTCATTTTTATTCCCCAAGAGTTAATTGTAATGAAAGTATTTGTAGTGAATGAAATCAATTAGCAGCAGCCAAAATCCTCATGATTTTATCATATGATTGACCACTCAGTTGGCCCTTTGATCGCAGTGAATCCAAAGTTATACAGTTTTTGGGCGATTGTCGGTATTGTTTAACTGGTCCACCCAAATAATCAGGCAATTCCGACTTTGGAATATAATCAGTTATCTCTTTACTTGAACAAAACTTGATTCGGTTCTTAACCGCTGCTGGATACCAAGTGAATGCTAGAGATTTGATCGCTCGAAGAACCCAATTCAAGTTAATTATGACAATGTACTTCTGTCCTGATGGAAAGTAATTTTTCAAACTGTAATTAATGAAGCTCAACATTTCTGGGTCACCCTGAGCCAAGGAAGCATTTGAACAATCAAAGACAAGAATCCAACCTCCAGTTGAGGGAAACCGTAGAGAGCCCAGCTCATCAGCCTTGTACATGTGATGGACAACAAATTTTTTAACCAAATCAACCAATTCTGGTATCTTATAGAAATGAGAAACTCGAATGTGAAGAACAGAGTTACCCTGAATGTCTTGTCCCGAAATGAATAATCCTCCAGATTCATACAGTTCCTTTGGAAATGTCTGTTCATCCAAATTGTCCAAACCCAAATCGTGTCTCCACTGCAGTGTATTGACAATGAATTTGATGGATTCACTTGGATCACCTCGACGACGCTTCATATAACGACACAGTAAATTGTCATCAGACATTAATCGAGTCAACAAACCTTTATCGATTTCATTTGAATCTGTAAAGGACCTTAAACCATCTCGAACCGTCTTCATGGCTTCAGTTGAATAGATGGACACATTTTCAATAAATGTTTCAATGTTTTCAATTTGAGGAGCCATTTTGATCAGGACACAAGTTTAATCACAGAGTAAATTTTGGGACACAAATGAAGACTTGGGTTTACAAGTGAATTGAAATTGATTTGAACAAAACTGTGAATCAAATTGAAGTGAGTTGTTGATGAAAATTGCGAGTGATCATGAGTTAACTTTAACCAATCTGATTGGAGACACTCTCTGATTAAGGACACAAATTGAATTTACCAAACCTTTGATTGTCTTTACTTTACATTTCACGTTCTTGACCAATGTCGTTACATTGATAAATAGCCGTGAGGAGTAATCTTTTGAAACTTTCACTCTAATGATGATCAACATGAAATGATGAAAAAAGCCTTGATCAAAGAATCAACAGGAATCTCATTTTTTTTCATCAACAGTTTTTTGCTCTTCTATTCAATTCAGCCAATTGTACAATCAATCACCAATTGATAATTAACTGCATTCTTTTGATCAACTTATTGTTCTTCATTTCATCTTTTGTTGTTAATGGAAGGAAGTGCGAGAGAACAAAGTTTATCGAAAGTTGTCAGAATTTTTTCTTCTATTTCTTCTATTCTTTCTTTCACTATTTATTTCCGATGGATAACGATTAAGACTCAAGTAATTTGCTTTTTCGCCAATTTAATCGCCGTTTACCCATTTTCATTGACACGTTAATACGTCTTTCCGTTTCTGAAGGTAAAAAAGATTATTGTGCTTTTAAGGTCTGATTATGAACTGAATCAACTTACAATCAAGTCAAGTGTTGTCTATTAACTGTGATAAAGGAAAACGAAGATGAAAATTTTGTTTGTCCAATGATTTCGACTGAATTATGAATTTAAGCCGCGGGTAAAACCAGTTTAATGTTGATCCTAGCGAAGGCAAAAAGATACACTAGTTAGCTAATGATTATTGAGATGATGATTTTGCTAATGAGAGTCATTACCTGACGTATCATCAAAAAAATAAATTATAATACATAAATTGAATAAAAAATCAGTTTCGTTAAGAGAAACCAATTTGTTTACATTGTAGCATCCAAGGACCAAAATCACCACTCATAATAGTTTAGTGGGTAAATAGTGAAAGGAAAATCTAATTGAATAATTTTTCTTGATTTTTCTTGATTGATAAGTTGTTGATCATCATTTTAGGCCGATTCTTAGTTAGACTTTCATTTTGATGCCTTTTGGAGCATATTGCTTCAGTAATCAAATCGATATCACGAATTAATCTTCTACAGACCAAACCACTTCTGGTACATTGTTTTGGAGTAGTGTGTCAAAATGGACTGCTTTAGGAAGCGAGAAGAGAGGAGAAGGAAGCAGAAAAGAAGAACCAGAACCAGATACACGTTTTCGAATCAATTTCAGCGCCAACTCAAAATGATTAAAATTCAATCAATGTAATGCATTCCCTCTGCGTTATGTTTTTTTTAATGAAAATTCGAATTCAAATATAATCCATGTAACGAATTTGTTTGCCATTGAACATAGCTTGGGTTTAGTATTAACATCTACGGTAATATACTGTACAATATGTATAATGTATAATGATACTTGGTATACTAGGTTTCAAAGTCAATAGTGAAACTATTGCGAGGTTTATTAGGGCACGATGAGAACATATTTTTGCCATATTTTCGACTATTCTATAGAAAATCTACTTGGCCTAAATTTAACAATTGAAACAAACGCAATATTCGGAAAACAAAACACTACTCCGAAACTATTGTCAAACCAAACACACCAACTAGCTACTACATATGGAATGGGACAAATCAAATTAAACTTTGATTGAATCAAATTAGTTTATACAAATCTTTAAAAAAACAATGACAAAATGCTTCTCAATATTTTGCTTTATTTAAACTTTTGGGTTAAACTCATCGAGTTTAATTTAAAATTCTAAAAAATTAGCTTTCATAGATTTGTCCAGAGTGAAATTATCCATTTCACCCTTATCTGTTCAGAATTAGCTCAAAAGAGCCTTTAATGAACGAATATTGAGTCAGCTCGCAGCGCTGATACTTTCATTTCAAATAGCTGAGACTTTAAAGATGAAAAGTGAGTTGACGGGTTCTCGTTCACCCTAGGCAACGACGAGTACACTGTTTGTATTCCAAGGACTAGATATTTTTGTAGGATAAATAACCCTTGTGTTACCTGCGCTGTGATGGAAGTTCATTTTTCATTGGGTTTTATTTTTGGTTTAGAATTTTCTTTTTTTTGTGAAAATTCTTGTGCTCGGAAACACATCACTTTTTAGTGTTAAAGTTTGTGTTCTGAGAACACCTTTGTATTCCGGGACTTCCTGTGAAGTAAGATTTGGAACTGGAATACTTTTGTGTAATTCCTTATTTTGATCAATTTTTAGGATACTTTGTTTATCTTGAACCGGGTTCAAGTCGTTTTTTATGGGAAATGGATTCAGGTGACGAAGTCCAATTGGTACCAAATGATCATGTCGTGGCCGGGGGATCAAGGCCAAGACTACGAGAAGTCATTTTAATTCCCAATTGTATGATCCGAATGGACAGCCATGACCAGTAGGGACAGTGATTGGTCTTTACACCATGATTGGACCAGGGAGAGTACCTATACATATCACGGAAAATGTGCAGTTAAATCATAATCCCATTCTACAAGCTGAGGTGGAAGATTTTTAAGCTATTGACCAAAGTCAACTAGTCAACCCGGTTGACGCTGATTGACGAAGATTATTGCTGCCGGATTTGTTACCAAATTTGTAATGATCAGGTTAAAATGTAATGATCATGTAATTTTGTCTTAAATGCATCAAAAGATACCTTGTCCTGATGTCAAACGGTCTGGACCATTCCTTGTCTGTCTTGAAAGGAACGTTTTAGTCCATTTGATTAAGGAATTTATTGTTGGTGGTAAGGCTGGCTTACGGTGTTTGATAGAGCCTGGAACTCAAACGGTTTATCTGCAATTTCGTGGCCAAAAAGACCTAGCCG